CCAGGTTACAGCACTAGGAAGGGTTAGCCAGTCCTTGATAGGGTGTCCTGCACCTTGTTTGTGGTCACAAAGGTGACTTCACGTGTGGTATGTGATTGCCTGAGAAGTGTCAGGAGATGCAATGAAGTATTGCACCTTCCAGCCCATCACCTGCTATGCTGCTATGGCTCTCAAAAGTTATTACTTGGTTGACTATGCATGTTTCATTTAATCTTTTTGTGTTTATAGAGCGAGCTGGGTAGAAGCATTGTCACTTTTTTCTTTTTCTTTTCTCTGTTGCTGAAGAAATTCACGTAATTTTCCATCAAGAAAAGAAAAATCACTGAAATTGTTAACCAGTTGAGATTATAAATCTACCATATAATTTAGTTTTCTGAAGGCAACTAAGCTGCCTTTAAGGCAGTTCTTATAAAATCTGCTAATCAGAAGCACTCAAACCTTTGAAAAGTTTGTCACTTTTTTGCAGTTAACAGTATTTCCACTAAGCCATTTGATTATACCTAAAAGCAGGAAAGAAGCAAGAAAGTCCTTGTAATAGTGTTGATATGGCACAGACATCCTATTATGGATTTTCTGTTAAGAGTGGCAGTTTCTCTTCAATATTTTAGTGTAAACTAAGGAACAAATTGACTAAAATAGTTTCTACTGCATACAACTTAGGAGAAGGGGGAGAGGGGGGAAAGCCAGAACATATAAGCCCATGGATTTCAATTTACGATTCCTAGTGAATAAACTTAAATTATCATAACAAAACTTCAATCATTATAATAGCACTCTTTTTATTGTAAGAGCCAAAGTAATTAATCTGTATATTTATGATCCTTGTCTATGATTAGTTTTCTGTCACAGGATGTGGTGAGTCTGTGCTGTTATGACTATATTTTATTTAATAATATTTTCCTACACAGTGCTGAACACTTCCTGCTGAAGCAGCTGAATGGACAAATCCATGAAGATATCTTTCATTTTCCCTGACAGTGAATGATGTTTCCATATATAAACATAATAATAGAGTCGTTACATATGCACTCACATTATCATAGCTGCTGTGTGCTCAGTGTTATTCAAAACAAGGCAGGAAGCCAAATTTTCCTAGTTCCCATTTTGATTCAAATTGTATTTGTAATAAAGGGATTTTCATTCAACCTAAATGCAGTTTCATCCTCGTCCAACAAACCTCCCCACTTTTTTTAAAATTATTATTATTTTTCCTTTATTCTAGGTCACTCAGTCTTGATGCAAGAGAAATTCTCCTCTGGTGGTGATAACAGCAGTGCTACTCAATGAACTATAACAAGGGCTCTAAATGCATCTCCTGTAGCATACCACAGTGATTTGCAAAAGTGGGAATAAATCAAAGCAGTGAAGAGATGCCATGTTGAGCCAGAAGCTAAATGTTACATCTTGTTGCATGAGGCTGGGGGGAGAACAGATCCTGTTTTTCTGGCAGCACAATATCTTTGTGCTTGTTACCTCCGATCCAACCCCATTAAGACAATCATTCAGAATCTGCAGGAAATTGTCACCTCTTTCTTTCATGCAATGGCAGCTGGTATTGGTGCCTACACACATTTCTCATTTCCTTCAAGATTTTCAACACACATAAAAAAAAAAGCTTAATTTATATTAGAAAATGTGTCAGCTTACCCTGAGGCTCAGCATGGGCACCAGGGGAAAAAATAAAAGATAAATGCCTCTAGGTGAACTGGCAGAGGCTCTAATTCTCTCCTCACTCTACTGCTAACACAGTATGCTCTGCATTAATCATTTCACATAGGCAGGCATTTAAAAAAACTTCAACTATTTTAAAACAAAGATGCATTGCCCTAAACTTAACAGTAATAGAGCTGTATATTGAGGAACAATTCCAGTTCACACATACCATATCCCCTAGTAGAAGACGTATAAAACAATATTGGAGTCTTCTCTGTCATAATTTTTATTATGTTTCTGTTTCTTTTGTCTATACAGTTATGTCCCCTCTAGTGAGCATTTTTTTGTCCGTGGGTAAGGATACATAAATAATGCTATCATCTGTTTGTCATTCAAATGCTGACATACACAGGATGTTTCCTATCTCCCATTTTTATCATGTGGCTGGATAAATGCATTGTGTGATCCTAGTGAACTGTTACATCTCAGTCCAACTCAAATATGGAGTGTTTTTACTCTCTGTGCTGGGATAGAGGGAAATAGTTTTTCTCCCTTTTGTAGCTTATGGGAATGTTGTGTGATGGGGAGGGAGTGGATGACCAACATCAAATGAGGAGGTGATGGACTGGAGCAACAAATAAAGTGTACAGGATGATGTGAACAGGAGAGATGTCACAACCAAAAAAACAGGGCAGAAGGGGTCTACTCCTACGTATCCACGCAAACTAGAAAGTGCCTATAGAAAAGCAGGGTGGGGAAAGATCTAACACCTCTTTTGGAAAACTCACATGACTGGATGCCTTTCCAAAGTGCATGTACACTAATACACATGGCATGGAGAGGACACAGGAGGAATTCAATGCCTAGAAGTTTCCCATGCAGTGTGGTCCTAGAGAGAAGAGGGGTCCAGGGGAACTGGAGGATTTTCAAGAATCACCTTCTGTAAGTTCAAATATGATCCCTCTTGCTGTAGACTAAGCCAGTGTTGGTAGGAGATCCATATGATTGAACAAATCCCTCCTGACAGAACTGAAGCACAAAAAGAGGCATACAAGAGGTGGAAGCAAGGACAGATGATGAAGGGAATATAGGGACAATGAGTGTGCAGGGATGGGATCAGGAAAGCCAAAGCCCATTGGGAGTTAAATCTGGTGAGGGAAGTGAAGGGGAAGAAGAAGAGCTGCTGTGCATGCATCAGTAGCAAAAGGGAGGCCAGGAAAATGTTTCTTTGCTGCTGAATGGGGGCGGGAACTTGGCGCCCAAGGCCATGGAGAAAGGTAGAGGTACTCAATTCATGTTTTGCTTCAGTCTTTACAGATAAGGCTGACATTCAGAGAACCCTGTCTTCTCATGAATGGTAACTCTTTGGTTTTGATCTTCATAGTTTTTTCAATCAGTGGGACAAACATACTGCTTGCACTGGAAATTTTAAGTGCTTTTTCTCCAGCTGAGTTAATTTTTTCATAAAAAATTATACAAAATGCTCAGTTACTTCTGAGCATTTTTTTCTATATTTTTTCTAATTTTTTTCTCCTGTCCGTCCCCCCTCCTCAGCCCCCCTGCTGCCTAGTCTAACTCTCTTCTGCCCACAGACAATTTTTAAATGGCTGATTTAATAGCAACATTTGTAAGCAGGTACTTCTTATAAATAAGGACATGACAAATGTAACAAACAATTGCGTTCATACGTGCACAAACATGTAGGGAGCTGGTAACCAGGCTGCCTGCTTGAAACTGCCTAAAGGGTTTCCTCCAAGTACACTACACATATTGCTTTAAAACATGTATGCAGACGCAGATTCACACATGTGCTGTGCTGCTGGGGAAAGCTCAATCTGCAGAAATGCAGAGGAAGTGCCAAGTGATAGAATGAGCTTAAAAAAGTTTGTTCCTGTAAAGGAGAGGCTGTGGATATGATTTTGGTGCCCAAGCCATAACCCCCAGAAGTCGTGGCCAAATTGCTCTGGTGTTCAATTGCACCAGGTTTAACCTGAAGTGGTGTATTCCCGCTAATCTGCTCAAAGACACTGTTGCAGCCAGGGGGAACTCTGTCCACCTAGGCACAGGGACCCGAAATTTAGACAGATCCTAAAAGCTGATTGTTTCATCACACAGTAGAATCTTCTGTTTGACTCTTGAATCTTCTATAATTTAGAGCAAGGAAAAACAGGGTGTTCTTTTCTCATAAGGAATCCTTATTTCATGCAAGGTTTTCTTTAAAATGTTCAACACTGACCATAAACATGGATATCTAGGCTCACCAAAAAAATTGAGATTTTTCTGGCAGTTTAGGACTGGCTTTCTATGGAACTATCTCAAGATCCACCAGAGAAAGCTAATGCCCATATCCCCCTTGAGGAGCAGAAAAACATTTTTATCTCATCTGTACTTACAGTTGCAGAAGTAACTAATGTTAAAAAGTAATGTTTCAACTATAACTTTAAAAGTTCTGTTTATATAGTAGAATCCCTATGAAAGGTCTTTCAAAAGTCATATTTCCTATTCTTGGCCTTTTTATGCTTTTAATCTTTCATATTTCCTGATTGTATTTATTTTGACCTCCATCAAGTGAATTCTCTATTACTGTTATTTTTGCAATTTTATGGTATTCTTGTAGCTTACTGTATTCTCTTTGATCTCCTCCCTTTCAGCTTTTTCTTGGGTCTTTTTCATCTTTTAAAAGAAGTTTTCTCCTTTTTCTTTTCGTATCTCTGTCTTCCAAGTGCAAGCCTTTATTTTGCATTAGCAGGTAAATGTTTGGAAATCAGAAAGTCACAAAGATTCTGGAATTTGCTACTGCTGAACACAAAATATTTCAAATTCTTGCTTCAAAGGCTTTCAGGAACAAAGAAGCTTTTCTCAGACCACTAGCAAATCCACCAAGTTCAAATGAACTGTCTTTGCCAGCAGAGATGAACTAATAACAGAACAGCATAGTCTTGCAAGAGTGGCCAAATATGTTAGGGGAACAAACATATCCTTGACATCATAAGAAAAAAATCACAGTTTATCTCTTTAATAACCATCTTCAAGGGAAATTAATGCTACTTTGTCCTTTGTGCAGAACAGTAATTGGATTGTGTGTTTCAATTATATCTGGACAAAGGCCAGGATATTGAAATACTTCTAAATATTAGATTTTCTTGTCCAAAAATTAGATTTTATTGGCATTCTCTTTCCGAGATTTCTTCATTAAAATCTTCATTAAGCATAAATCTTCTTTCCACACAGCAAAAAAGAAGAAATTGTTTTAAAAGGGTCATTTGGAAAGGTTTGCTCTCCCCTCCTCCCACTGTTTATGCTGAGAGAAGAGTTACCTAACAAGGTTAGAAACCAGCCTGCCTTACCTAGGATGGTTTTCAGCTAGTTTCTTGAACTCATTGTCCCAGTTTGGCCTTCCATAACAGGTTTTCTGTCTCAAACCAGTAATTACATCCGTCTTGTCATCACAATGTAGGGCTATGTGAGTAGCCTAAAGGCAAAATTACAGGACAATAATTTTAGAGTCAAAAACATATATTCCAAGTAAGAGGCAAAAGCAGTAATTGTTCTTTGCTGGGAAAGATGGAATGAGGGAAAGGAAACTGGACAATTATCAAATGAGAGGAGAGGAGAGGAGAGGAGAGGAGAGGAGAGGAGAGGAGAGGAGAGGAGAGAGGGAGAGGGAAAGAGAAGGAGATGAGCATTTGAGAGTTCAGTATTATTCACTAATATTTGAGAGTTCACAATATTACTAGAATTGTAAAAAGCATTTCCAAAAGTACCTAAGAGCCAAGTCCAGAGTCCATTCTGGTGCTGATGGAAAACACAGTGGATATACCAGCTCAGCAGGGGTAAAAACAGGGGTCCAGTGGAGGGCCACAAAGATGATGAGGGGTCTGGAACACCTCTCTTATGAGAAGAGACTGTGGGAGCTGGGCCTGTTTAGCCAGGAGAAGACTGAGAGGGGATCTCATTAATGCATGTAAATATCTCAAAGGCAGCTGTCAGGAGCATGGTGCTAGACTATTTTCGGTGGTGTCCATTGGCAGGATGAGGAGCAATGACCATAAAATAAAACACAAGAAGTTTCATCTCAACATGAGGAAGAACTTTACACTGAGGGCAGCAGAGCACTGGAAAAGGCTGCCCAGGGAGGGTGTGGAGTCTCTTTCTGGAAGCATTCAAAACCTACCTGGGCAAGTCCCTGTGTAACCTGCTCTAGGTGACCCTGCCTTGGCAGGGGGGTTGGACTGGGGGATCTCCAGATGTCTCTTTCATCCCTTACTATTCTGTGACCCTGTGTAAAACCCTCAATATTTTGAATTTTCTCCTCAGCTAGAGGCAGGTGCAGAAAGTGGATCAACCCAGGTAAAGCACTGAACCAAGTGAGCTTCTCAGCTCCCAGGTGCCAGGAAAAAAAATCCTTATTTTCATGGGCATTTACTGTCCTTCAGCTCCTGTACTGCACCCATTACTGTGCTATCTGGGTACTTCCCAGGTGCATTTAAAAACAAAAACCACAGTCACTCCTAACTGTACTGCTCTTGTGTAGGAGTAATATGCTTGTTTCCACTACAGACTATCATCACTGCTGTCACTATCAAGAAAATAACAGAGGAAAGTAAGTTTATAATGGACTTTGCATTTAGTCCAGGCTCTAGCATGAACTAAGTATCATAATCATCTTTTGCAGAAGTGGTTGCTGAAATTTAGATCCACTTCATAGGAATGCTATATATTTCTTCTTCTAATGAGCCTTCCATGTTCCTTACCAACACAATTATTCCTGTCAAGCAAAGTTGTCACAAGAGGTGGTGTTTCTAAAAGCTTCTTCTTGTTAGTTTGAGCCACTGTCATGAAGGATTTGGAATAGTCTAAGAAAGAACTTAAAGTGTTTGGTAAGAATGGGAGGCAAAAAATTGAGGAATTTTTGAATTGTTTGCAGCAAAATTGTCCCATTGAGAAGATGAGCTGTTCTCATTATCAATGAGAACAGATAATGAGAAGATCAATGTTCTCATTAAATGGAAGTTTCCCAGGAGTTTTGGTTTTAGCCTTTGCAATAGCTCAGAATGCTAGGGTTGCCTAGGAGTCCCAGGGGTATTGCAGGGAGCTTGGCTAAGCAGAGGCAGACCATGTGCCTTACCTGCTTGACCATCTGTGGACAACATGGAATCTGCAAAGAGCTCAAAGCATTGAGCAAACCTGTCTGAGGAGCAGACACGTGTCAGTGAAGGAGGGTGTACTAGAAGGTTTAAAATGCCCATCCTCCTTGGGTTCAACTTCACTTGACTATTGGTTGTCCATATGGTGAGACAGAGAGAGAACATTGAGAATATTGTTTTGTTTTTTGCTAGGGGAGAAGTAAAGTATAATTTAAATATTACTGGTGCAGAAGCTCAAATTTTGAGGAATGATGAACAGGAATTTACTAAAAATAAAGACCTATAAGATTAGGAGGCTTTTTGTATATCTGAAGAAGATGATGTTACTGAGCACAGTGTCCAGGTCAGAGTGGGAGAAATAGACACTGAAGAACCTTCCTCTGACAGAAATCGAGAGAGATTATGGGGTTGAAGAGAGGAAGAAGTCCCTTCAGAAAGGTGCAGGGCACTCGAGTGAAGAGAGACAAATGCCCGCCATTGTCAAGAACCATTGTCACCCTACCTGACTTCTGGCCTGATGTTTGCCCAAGAGGGAAGTGAGGTGATAGTTGAAAGATGAGGGCAGCTTTGTGGTTTTTATGTTCCCCAATAGCTTCTTTAACCATAGGTTTTAGGTAATAGCCTGTGATATTGCTAATGCAGAGCAGTAGTTTCTATTACTGCCATAACTTCACAATGGGAGTAGATTTTTCTGAATACAGCTATATGCACATACCTCATTACTTGACAGAAACTCTGAGGAAAGCAGAAAGAAACAATGGGGAGTTTGTATCAGCAGAGGTAGAAAAGGAAAAGCTCTATGCAATCTGTATTTTTTGCATCTCTACTAGGCAGTCCTTCATTCAACAGAGGCAGCAGGAAATAAAACAGTAGAGCAAAGACTTCCGTGTTAGAGTTTTTCTGGCAGGTGCCTGACTTATCACTGCATGATCTGAGTGATCCATTAAAAAGGGAAGAGAGAAAGAGAGAGAGAGAGAGAGAGAGAGAGAGAGAGAGAGAGAGAAAATCAACACATTTGTGTTTAGGTAAACACTAAAGAGGTTGAATAATTTTGACCTAGTCTAAGAATTAAGTGCCTGAGGTGGTATGATCCAGTGAAATTATGAGATGGCAAATTTAAAGTCAATCAGAGAAAATGTCTTTTTGAACAACGTGAATTAGACCATGGAGTTGGTTGCCAAAATTTTCTAAGTGCAGTACTTTTCAAAAATGCACTGGATATATATATGTGTATATGTATATATATATATGTATATATAGATATATTAATTGCTACAACAGAAGTTGTATTAAATAATAAGAGTAAATGAAGCCTACATTTTTTAGACAGTCCTCAACATTTCAGCACAAAAATGACAGAATCTAATGAAAGACTGTTCCTAAGACATAGACAAAATATCCCTTTATGAGCTCCTGAAAGCTCTATGCACTTTTCTGTGAGACACCTGGTAACCATCTTTGCCCAAGACAAGATGGAGGATTGGAGGAATCACTGGCTTGATTTCTCCATTCCTGTTTTCCTAAATGTGAGATGTAAACAGACATCTTAGGATCTTTATATTTACAGTTCTTTGTCTCTCTGCTTCATCCATCATTTATTCAGCTGTTCCTATTCTACATGTTACCATACTGGAAAAGCAAGGTACATTAACTCTGACTTCTAACAGTTTCATTATTACCTGACTTTCATCCCAGCCAGTAAGAAATATATGATAGCTTAGAAAGTCATTTTTCCATTTTTCAGCCATTTTTGTTTCCAAATGGAAGAGAAGATCAGCAAACCATTCAAATGCTGATGGGTCTCGACAAATCCAGTAAAAATAAACCTGCCAAATAAAGTAAAGAGATTTAACAAGAAGCAAACTTTCAATAAAACTTCATAATTACTGGCTCAACTCATTAACCATGTAGTGTGTGATTCTTCTCCACACTAAATTTATATAAATATAATTGAACATCATTTTGACATTTTAAACTTTTGATTGTCAGCTTAAACAATGAGTGAATATATTAATGTGCTAGTGAAAGTAGGCAGTGGTCAAGCTTCCCATAAAGCCTTGCCAGTGCATCTCTGCTTTGACTTGTAATACCTAGTCCTTTATTTCTTGCAAATAATTTGATGATTATTTGAAATTTTGGATTTATTTAATTTCAGTTTTATTCAGCATTGAAGCAAGGAGTTCCTTGTTTCTCAAGACATTATGTCATAGGGTAACTCTTCATGTTGCCAAAAGGTACTTATGTTCTTCATGTCATATGCCCTGTATAAAACAGGTGAGAAATAGTCCCTATTCCTTTTTAAAAAATGTATTTCATGTTTAATTTGCAACTTCTGTTTCCTAGAGAAACCTGAAACTAAATTTACAATTGCCAAAGGCGTAAAATGAACTGCTATCCCATGATCAGTTTTTTATTGTTTGAAACCCTCCTTTCTATCCAAAATTGACACAATTTCTCTCATCCAGATTTCAATAATTTCACTTTTTATCTTTTTGGTTTGTTGTCTATGGGGTTGGAGAGCCTGTTATTGAAGTTTCATTCTACAGGTAGAAATTAGAGGATGAGATCAAGTCATCCTATAATTGTGTCTATGGCAAACCAAATCCTGGGATCACTGCCACTGAGAGGCACCCTTTAATCATTTCTATGGCTTATTTTTCCTACTCTGTTGTAGTAAATCAAAAACATAACAGAGTTTGTTGGTTTTTGGGGTTTTTTTTAAATAAAGCTAATTTATTAATATCTTGGCATAAGGTAATGTTTGCATAGGAAAAAAATCTTTCAAACAAGACTGTTAGTCATTGTCCATATGATGATGAGTTTCTATTTCAAGAGTCCTTACTCTGGCATCTTCAGCTGGAGCAGTGGGAGTCCACAAGAACCTTTTTCTGCCCAGTTTTTGTAGCCAGCTGGCCCCGGGATCATTGTGACCACTCCTGCATGTGCATGATCTATTGTGATCTGTTGTCTTAACTGCATATAAAGCATCTTCTAACTAATTAGCTATTTCTAGAAGGCTGTCCTATATGACCACTTCTGTAGGACTGGTTTCTGGTGACCATTTGCAAATGTCTTGTCTGTGTACAAGTTAATAAAGTTTGCAACAGGAACTGCCTTAGAACTGATGAAATTCCCTTGTCAGGATCTTATCAGTGCACTGAAACTCAGTCACTCCTAGGCCCATCAGGAATTACCTTAGGGAGTCTTCAGCACCATCATGATTTCCCAGTTGGAAATCTCCTGTAGCAATGCTGTGTAGCGGACTGGGACCAGTCCATCCCCTGGTTTCAGCTCAGTGCCTCATATGAAGCCAATACAGATGTGGAGACAAATCAACTGTGAGTTCCTGTACTACCCAGAGGATGAATGTCTGAAATTCCCAGGCTGTCTGTCCAGAAACTACCCTGGTGGCAGTCTGAAGCACAATTACAAGATAAATCTGATTGCATTTCTTATTACTCAAATTCTGTAGCTCTTGCCACACACTCTACCGTTATTTTGACCAGATGGTGCCAAACCTCAAATGGACCTCTGCAGGCTGTGTATTTTCATAATTTATCCAAAGAAGAAATTCACAAACATAGAGGAAGTCTAAAAAGACACAGTTTCAGATGTGAAAGGAACAGCAGGAAGGACAATGTATAAGTTTATAAAACCTGAATGACTGCAACTTATTTTATTGTGACTGTGATTTTTATTTTGTTGCAAAATCCTTTAGCTTTCTCTAACCCATCTCCTTCTCTGCTCACCAGCCCCTCTGTCTTTTATTGTACTGCAATATCAAAAGTGATCTGGAAGGTATGTTCCCTAGGCAATCATTAAGTCTTTTCCACAGGATCAATGAGGTAAAAATGTGTATTGGACACTTCTGAAATGAAAAACCAGAGAAAGAAACCAGAAAGCTATAAAGAGATTTCCCAAAGATTTAATATACTAGGTTGTCAGACTTCTGGTAAGGTGGTGGGAGAAAAATGTGGTAATACCATGCTTCAGTGGAGATTTGGTGAAAGACACTAACAGTAATTTGAGATGTTTCCTAGATCTGAGTGTACTGTAAGAGACCATCTGTGGTTTATGTAAGAAATATAAATGATGTATGATCCCAGAAACAGAGATAAGGCATTCAGGGTTAAGTAGGGTATTTTTACAGCCCAAGAATAAGACTGTCTGTGGAACTTTAGTGCTAACCATCTTGGCTGTTTGCTTTTTCTCCTTCTGTTTCAATATTTTGCCTTAAATATGACCTTATTGCTGCTCTATGGAGGGGAATTGCTGCTGATTTACCCTGGCATAGGTTATGAGGAAAAAGCAAGCCCACTGATGTTATAGAATTTCATATTAGTGGCCAACAACAGCATTATTTTAAATTACCAAAACTAGGTAAGGTTTATAGCCTTAACTTGTATGTAGCTTTTTGTGTCTGAGTCCTAAAGTCCCCACTTGTTCTATATACTCAGCACCTCGCAAATCAGCCCACTGAGTGCTGTCAGTCTGTGTCACACCATAGCTGTTGATTTGTAGTGAGAAATTTCTTCCCCCAGACTCTACTTGATCATCTTATTTCTCAAGTTTTTTCAGCAGTTCATTTTATGGAAATGTATATTTAGTACATGTGTGTGGAGAGGAGATACTGTGTGTTTCTAAATGAGTAAAGAAATGCTCATGGGGTAGCAACTGAGAGCATGTGGGCAGGACTGGGAGATAAGCGCATTCAGGGAAGGAGAAAGACGAGCTAGCCAATGAGTTGAGACAATGCAGTCTTCAAACTGGGGAACTGGTTTTCAGAACATCAGACTATGCATCTTGAAGGAATGCTTTTAGCTGTTTGCAGGCCTGGCTGTCACAGGAACAGCCAGTCCAACTGACTGGAACAAGCCACCTCTGGCACACTCCTCTAAGAAAAGGATGCAGTTTTCTGAAGCTGCAAAAATTCCTTAAGCTCATCCCGCGGCACCCATCGAATTGCCTCTGCTTTTCACGTTAAGAGGTGGCAGGCATTTGGTGATGAAGAAAGACTGTCATTATTAGAAGAAGTATTTTTGGCTGCGATTATAATCTTAGAAAGAAAAGAGATAGCGAAGAATTATGGCCTATGGGTAAAAGGAATTAGTTTCCCTTAGATCAAAGAGGACTTCTAGTCTAATATGTTAAAATAAATGGTGTTTACAAAGAAGTCTTCCTTTCTTTACACTGGCTGCCCATAGCACAGCACAACATATTACATATATAATTAAAATACAATAAATGCACAAAAAATTAATCCTTATTAAAACAGTAGAATAAAGTAGCTCCAGTGCATTTATATAATTAAAAATTATTTTGAATCCTTTTTTTTTCCTTGTAAGCCTCATACTATTAACTGACTGCAATTATTTAGGACCCTTAAAAATCTGGTTTAGATTTATGTTTCATTAGTCTCCACCCACCATACTGCCATCAATTGCATTTTTCAGCTTGATGGCTTGCCCAAGTAAACTGTCTTAAATTTTCCAAGTGCTCTTTTTGCAAATTGAGTTAGATGCAGTATTGCTATTAATCAGATGAAAGCAGGGGTTTGAATAGTTGCTTATTTCTGTAATGCTCTTGCAATTCATGGATATTTATCCTTCAGTTTCCCACATCCTGTATTTTGTACAACAGACAAGAACAAGAGCTGTGTTGCCTCTTTCCTGTAAGGTGAAAGAATATTCTTTGTAAATCAGCTTCCGTCATGAGGAAAGTCATTAATAATTATCTGTTGATGAGCATCCATCTGTTTCTCCCTGCTCCCCGAGGGCAGAGCTGAAGCTGCAGCTCTGGGCAAAGCAAGCTTTTCACTATAGGGCTGTCCAAGGAGGACACCCCTCTTCCCTGACTCTGGCTGCTCTCTCCTGGGCATGAATATCCCTGCAAAAACCACTTACACCTGCAGGTGGGCACCTCCCTGCAAGCCTCCAGTCCTTCATGCTCTTCGGTATACTCCATTACCTGTGGGCTGTAGCATACAAAAACAAACAAACAAACAAAAAGAGCACCAAACCCAACAAAAAAAAACCAGAGGTCATGCAGGAAGTGGAGGTTTGGCAGCCTACAGGAGGCACTGACAGGGTGGCAGCAAACAGCCTTTCCCACAAATGCATGGCAACGTAAAAATCATATTCCTAAATTTGAAGCAAAAAGCTTAAACTGTTATCAAAAAAGATCAGAAACATGGTTACATTTGACAGAAGAAAGAACCTAGGTTTTTAGGTCTTCAAGACAAGATTTTTGCGTGGGACTGGAGACTGGGGCAGATATTTTCCTTAGGTGTGGAAGTCAGTCCCAAAGCAAATGGAAAAGACTGATTGTGCTTTCCTCTCAGTATGTAGCAGAACTGCCACAACATGCTATGGTTGTCTAAGGTATACATGGATTCAAAAAACAATTAGACCACTTCATGGAAGAAAAAGCCACAAAGTGATATTAAAGACAGAAGTACAGCTCTTGTGTCAAGGGGTTGCTGAGATATGAGTCGCTCAATGGTGAGAAAGTGTCCTGTAAAAACCAATCACCGTCTGATTTTTCTGGTCTGTATACTTTTCTCTAGGTGTTCCTGAAGAGCCACCATTGGAGACAGGATATGGAGCTAGATGGATATTTGGTGGTACTCAGTAGGACCTTTCTTATGTCTTTTGTAGGGAAGAGAAAGTGGATCTTTGCTAACACTAGAATCTGATGGATCACTACAATTTTATCAATTTCAGTAGCAATTGATCTGAAAAATGAGACCACTAATTTGAAAAAAAAATCGTATTATGCATAACTAAAGCCAGTAGAAACTTTCCAGCCATTCCTAGTAGTACATGCAAAAAATGATGGGGAAATGAGGGCTCTAAGGCTATTTCATTGTGAAGAATCAATTAGATAAATATATACTCCTTTTGATTTGTTGGCTTTTTTAAATTATACAGCTGCAGACATTATGGAAACTATGAGTACTTATATCTCAACCATATGTGGGCAACACTAAGAAATATTAGTTCAATAACTGTAATGATAGCTGTACTCAAATCAAAACGAACTTGTTAAAAAAAAAGAAAAACCTCTTATTTATTTCCTTAATAGACATTTCTATGGTACTCATCATGGCTAAAAGAGAGTGCTGAATACTTTGAGGAAGATTAAATTATTTGTAATTATACCACAAGTGGAAGCTTTTAACCAATGGAAAAAAAAAGTGGAGCTACCCTGAGATTAATCGCTCTCACTGAAATGACTGATAAATTTTTCTAAGTAATGCTGTGAACTTCCCCATGACCTTTCATCCACACTTTCAAAATATTTTACAAGCACTGATGAAATTAAGCCTCATAACACCTGTGAAAAATAAACATCGCTATTCCCACTGCACCAAAAAGGAAGCCAGGATACAAAGAAAAGACAAGTAGAAATCCTGATAATTTTGTATTTCACAGGAATTCAGAAAAACTATAGAAAATTATAGAAAAAAAGTTTTCCATAGCAGAAAACTGTGGCAGAATGCACGATGCATTCATCTTTGCAGCACACTTAGCCAAAATTCTCCCTAATTCTCCCTATGAATGAACACCCTCAAGTATTCTATTGATGCATAGTTAAATTCTGTTCTTTTCCCCTTAAGACAGCAGCAGTGACAATAATAACAACAACACTTTTACTTGTATACATGCAGAATATACATAATCTACATATATAAAGTTTGTATGCATATGCGTAGCTCTCCTTCCAGTGAAAAAGATCATCCTGGTACAATCGCAGTGTTTGCAAATACACTTCTTTTCTCAAATAGCATGTATTTCCATTTTTATTTCCCTCCCTTCTCAGTGCTTTTTCTGCCTCAAAGATCCCCCCTGGCAATTTGAACCTGTCCTCAACTCCTCAGTTACTAAAAATCCCAGATGCTTTTTCAGTGGCAGCTCATCATTAAGATGCCAGTTTTAACTCTCTCTCATTTAAAAAGATCAGCCCCTTGGTCCTGCAATCAGCTCCATATGTATTGACCCTTTCAGAGATCTGTCCCTTCCAATGCAATTTCAACATTTGTCCTTAAATGTGAAATGTTGAACAGTTCCTGATTCAGCTTTTAAACTGGAAAATGGCCTAAAAGCTGTAAGGTCTGCCATGATGGATGTGGAAGAGAATGTTTAATGCTGATTTTTTTTTTTCTATGCTACCTTCTTGCCCTCACCCCACTTCACCTCTTATCTCTTCTTCACCTATAGTCCCCAGTGCAGCCTCACATGCCATTAGCAGAAGGTATATAACAGAAAATTAAGAGTATGTTAATTAATTTTGTGCCATCTTTACCTTATAGATCTGAACATATTTTTTCAACAAAATAATTAAAGTGGTTCGAGAGAGTAATATGCATCTTGATATATGCATCTCATCCGGAGCTTAAATGCCTTTTATATTCCTTCTGTGCTGGTTAATATCCCAACTTTGCAATGTGAGAAAAGCAGCAAATGGTTGCTGAATGCAGCCTTCTGGACCAGGACGTGCTGCTGAAGGACCCTCGTGAAACTTGCACCTGGACAAAGAGCAAGTGCTGCCCTTCACTTCTGATTGAGATGACATTGCAGGATTTATTTCTCATAAAAAAGAGGCTAAGTTTCCCTTGTAGCTCCCTAATCATCTGTCTAGCTGTGAAAAACATTCCACAGTTATCTCCATTTTGCTATTGAAAATGTGATCCTTCAAATTTTACTAAAAACTTTGCAGCTTGGGCTACCTTCTTTCTTGGGGAATGACAGTGAGCTCAGGAGAATTCACCCCACAACAGTTCCTAAGGCAACTGGAAAGGGAGTGGCTGCTTCTCAGAGCAAGTTAAAGAGGGTCACTCAAGTGAGCCTCTAGCTTTGAATTGCTTCTCTCCCCTGGCTAAGTAGGCTCACTTGTGGAACTTTTTAATGAAGCAATAAACTTTTCCACCTACCTTCTGCAGTGCCAGTACTGTGTCAGGGTTGCAGCATTTGTACCAAATGGATTTTAAAATAGAGGCAAATGGTGTGACTCCAATTCCTGCTGCAATGCACACACTGACTCGGTAGTGGAAGATGTCTGTGGTTGCAGATCCATATGGTCCATCTACAGCCAGTCTACAGCAAAAAAACATTTAGTCAGGAGTCAACAACACATAAAGTGACAGAAAGGTTAACATTTGTTGGGCTACACATTGTCAAAACTGAGTTTCTGTTAAAATAAAAGAGAAAATACATGTCTAAGGCAGCACATAAATTGCCCATACAAATACATTTAATTTTGAGTGAGTGCCATTTAATAGCAAAGCAACTGTCTTTTCTGAAATGAGAGAACAAGAGCACCCATGTGGATTTGGGGCCTGGCCATCTATTTAAGCATGCAATTGCAATTTTCTGGCTTTCTAAAATGTGATTAGTCATATAATTACATGTCCAAATTTAGCTGTGGAATTTGCATATTTAATTATGAATTACTGAAAAGCATCCTGTTTTAGAGCTTTATTTGTTATATTGTACACATCAAAGTAAAGAGGAACAGATTATATTAATCACTTTTAGAAGTTCTGTATTTGAGTTAAAGTAATAAAAGAGAAGGCAAGAAAAAGGTCATCATATGCAAGAGAACTACTATTTTCTCAGCTCTTTCTGAAAAAGCAGAATACATTTCAGGAATACATTTTTGGCATAATACTGTACTTAGTATCTGATGTAAAGGCAAAAATGTGTAAGGAGACATGTTTGTTGATATTACTGCCTCCTGTAATCAATGTTGTTGATGCCAAGAAATTAATTTTGGTCAAAATTAGAGATGAAAAAGATTGTTGAATAATCAGATTCATTCCTTCAGCTACATGAAATGTAAATACACACAGTACTTTGGAGTGCTCTTTCCAGCCCTGTCTTTGTACAACATACATACTGGGAAGATGGTTTCACCAACACCTAGTCCTCAGGAAAAAAAAAAAAAGGGTTTTCCTTCCTTTTATATTTTCTGGGTTTTTGTGCTCTTTACTGCATTAATTATCCTTATAATTTTTCCTTAAATAGTGCAAACAAATAGGCACACATAATTAAAATGAAGTGTTTTAACAGGAAGAGAAAGGGGAATCCCCAAGCAATGCTCCACACAAATATAGGGACACAATGTATCTCAAACCCATTTATTACTTTTTTAAAAGTCTTAACAAACATCTGCCATTTTATTTCAATGTGCAAAATGCCCTGCAAGTGCAGTAGCAAACAAAACAGCTACTCTGGCATAATTGCTAGAAATCTGACCTAGACATAAAGATTTTTTTTTTTAATATGTACAATTATTTAGATTATTGCCCAGCCCAGTATTTTTGAACACTCAAAAATTCCTGTAAAATATGGTTAATTGATGGTATATAACTATAGTGCCTAAGAGCAGCTTTCAGATAAGCTTTCTATGTAGTTCAGTGTGAGGCTGGAAGCAATTCTCATTGTTGTCAGTAGATTGAGAAAAAATTGATCTGGAAGAATTTCAAGGATTCTCTAGTCTGTTGCTGTTCTATAAGACAAGTTCAATTATTTCTGAATCATCCCTCGAAGAGATTTGTCTTGTCAGTCTGCTCCTAAATCCTCAGGTGACAGAGATCCCATCATTGGTTTGAATGCTTTACTCAGCCATAGCTATACAGCTGAGCCAAATACAAAAACTCAGAAAAGCAGGGAGGAGAAAGAGGAGAAGGAGAAACTGAGCTATGCAACTCATTCATTTGATCTAGATAGAGTGGATGGAGGCAGGAAGAGAGTAAACAAAGTGCCAAAAAAAATTTACATTTACATTTGGTGAAGAGATGTAGAAAATAGGGCCATGGACTTTCTTGCTGTGGTTTGGATGGTCCATATTCTTCCTATCCATTTCATTAGAAAAGAAATTAGATATATGGGGAAATATTTAGTTTTGAAAAAGTATCATTAACAGATTCTGTGATTATTTTTAGAATGTGAGCATTTGCTGATGATTGTGTAGTACTCCTGACTGTGAGAGCAGTTAGATTTTGGGGCAATGTATTAAACCAGCAATTAAGTCAGCCAAAATCCTGAAGAGACATAACATAGAACTTAATTATTTTCACATTAATAATCTGTTCTATGGTTTTAGCTCCCAAATTTGTCAGAAATCACAACTGTCTTTGCTACCTATATATATGTATGAACATATTATTTTAATCCTCTTTAAGTAATTAAAAACACACACATTTTATTCTTAACCCTACCTTATTATTCAGTTGCTATATCTTCTGTCTTCTGCATAGTTTCTGCTATGTGGTTTTTTTTTTTTTTTTAATATAGTCACCAATTTGGTGTATAACTTTAGATATTGAAACTGTGAAAAAGACTTGTTTTTTGCTTTATTGCTAGTTTAACTATTGAAATATTAAAAATAATATTGCAAGAAAGAAACTGATGGATGTCATTAGGCACCCTAATGAGATTAAAAAGAGGAGTGTTTGTATATGACAGTAGTGTTAATTTCAACCCTGCACTGTGGCAAGAAACATTTGATAACTTTTTTTCTCTGCCTCATTTTTTACACTTGCTGTCAATCACTTTGAACAATTTTTGCTCCAGTTCTGCTGAAGTGGCATATTTCTCATTCCATTTGACTTTAACAAAGGCACTGATTTCATTTCTAATTCTTATTAACTGATACAATGCAAGGAGTGGACCAGATTTTCCTGTCTGCACCCGATCTCTAATAAAACTCTGCAGCTCAGTGGTGTCTATGAGCTTTCCAGGGGGAAATCAGTCCCTGCAGTCCCAGGCCCTACGCACTCCACTAGAATTTAAATGATCCTGTGCTGGGCTCTTTGCTGAAAGTCTTCCCTATTCCTGCAAGCAGTGCAGAAGTAGAGCTACGTGGTTTGAATCCATTCAGTATAGAGCCAGGTTCTTGGCTGGAGTAAGTCAGGATGGCTCCTTTGACTTCAGAGGATCCCTACCTAACTGGGAACAACAGAGAAACAACTTTTTGCTTGTATTAAGATGCCAAAAATACATAATTTGAACACAAATAACCTTTATAAAGTGTTTAGGGTTTAGAAAATAGAGACGAGGTCAAAGGAGATTGTTGGAAAGAAGTAAGATTTAGGCAGATGTTTCAGGGACCACAAAATATCTAAACAACTGAAAGGGAAAACCTGGAATTTTGGATATTAAGTGATGGGTACCATCAGAGCATAAGAATAGAGGCACAAATCTAGCAGATATCTTCCAGAGTCATTTATCAAACAACCATCTTCCAAAATAGGTATCTTTAGGTGTAGATATAGGTGTTAGAGAACCAGATGGCAGCAACAGAGATAAGGATATTGATATGGACTTTAAATCTTGGATTAGTCATCACATTCTCTTGGCAGCTTCTGGCCCCAGTTCATGGCTATTTGTTTGTGGTGGTTTTTAGCATAATGTTGTATTTATGAATCCAGAATTACAATCTAATAATGTATCATAAAAAAATTGCAAAATTAATTAAAGTTAAAATGTTAACATTTCTTTTAAAATGTAGAAATAACATTTTAAAATATACAGTCTCTTATTCAAACCTTGGTAACATCCACAATTCCTTCAGAGCTTTTTCCTCTGCTCCAAAGGCCTTGAAAAGGGCTGCAGTCCAATCCCCGACGAGCCGTATGTGGACACTGAAGTAGTCCTCCTCGGGAGCTGAGGTGAGGGTGAAAGGGTGCCACTCCAGCTGTGACACTGATGGGCACTGTAGAAATATATATTGGCCAGCTCCCATTTTAAAGCCATGTTTCTTCATGTGGAGCTCAAGGACTCCAGAGGAATGTGTCACCACCTAAAGAATGATAAAGGGACGAATTTTATTTTTCATTCAGAAGGGTAAATGTTTGTTTTCATTAGGTCACAGATATCCTAACCTGCATGTTGCAGTGTTGTTGCCCAATGGCTTGAGAGCATGTACAGTATGTATTGTGGGACAGCTTCACTTCTGAGTGCAAGATGCAGAGGAAAGGCTGAAACAGTTCAACAATTTGTCAATTTTCTTGGTATGACCTGTGCAAAAGTATTTCTTAATTGATTAGAATAATTCCTTAATTCCTAGTTTTGCTCTCATGTAACACTGCTAACTCTGTGGGATTACAAAGAAAAAGGCACAGTGAGCTCAATTCTAATACACTTTTATAAAGAGGTAATCTCAGTTAAGCAGCAGTTTTGTATGTCCCCTGTTATATTCTGAGATCCTCAGATCACAGCCACTCTGTGAAATCAGCAGCAAGACTTATCTTGTTTCCCTCACACAAGGTACTCCTGATCCCTGCCTTGATACACGTGGACTCAGATGCTTCAGTAGCAACATCCTCAGTCTGTTCTGGTGTGATTTAAATAGTCCCTTGGCACACAGGTGGGGGAAATTGTTACAGTGGTATTAGTGGAGCTTTGACTATGTATGCTAACTGATCACATAACCCTTCATCTCCTTGGAAGACTCCAGATTTCAAAGTAAAAACTGTGTGCTGCTACTGAAGTCAAGGTAGTCTCTGGCATTAACTGCAGTGGAACATGGTTTTAGTTCATTGAAAAGGGAGACCACAAACAGATGTTTGTGTTATGGTGGTGTGAGTTCTGGTACTTCATTAATCAAGCTTGGTCCCATATGGAATATTCTTATGGATTTGCTATTGGAATAAATGCAAAATGTAAAATCAATACTTGGCTGAAAACATGGTAATGATTGAAAAGTTGCTGAAGCTAGGAGTGAAAAATGAGGTCCCTAATATAGAGAGGTTACCTAAAAACAATAAAAAACAATAGAGAGGTTACCTAAAAACAATAAAAATCAATTGACATAATGGGGTTTTTTTTTGCAGATATGCGAGCTGTGTTACATACCTTAGTAATTATGACTTCCTGTCGAAATCTCCAAAACCTAACAATTCTTTCACAGATGTACAACACCATAGGACTTAAAACCCACTTCCAAGCCTGTAGAAAATTCCATATTAAAAAGCAATGTTTATTTGAATGTCTACAAAAATACTTTGCTTTTCTGGTTTAAATCAGCAGGTAGCCTAAAATTAAATAACTTGTTTTTCTGTGATTTTTGGTTTGTCTTTGTTAAGAGAGTATTTGCGTTGCTGCTGTAGCTGTTCTGGCTTTCTTGTGGAATAGACATATGGGACTCCCTCACAAACACAGTCCAAAAGCAGTGCTAATATTCATCTGTACTCTGGCCAAGAAGAGTCCCTTAAAATGTTTTCCTATTAAAAGAAAAAGGATTAATCTGTTTAGGTGTTGTTACATACAATTGTCATTGAACCTGAAGCTGTATAGACGCCTACAGTTATACAATATTACCCACAGACTTACCTTTATTTTTTTTTTTTTGCCCCAAGTCTAAAGTATTTCAAAGCAGGCAGATAGGAGTAGCTGTTATTGTCAGCTGTGAGTTTTCTGATGGTGCATGAGAAAACATTATGTCCCAAATATTCAGTTAGTGAAATGTGATACATTTCCATTTAATCCATTAGTCAACTCTTTATCAATAAATGAGGAGTTTTTTGATCTGGGATACTGAGTTGGTCATACTTTTAGGTATAGCAGATGATTCCTGTGCTTGTTCTTGCTAATCCTATGTACTGATCACTGTAGCAATCAGAGATACCTGGCTATTCAAGTATAGGAGCTGATCATTTCACTGAGTTGCGCTGATAGCTAAGATAATTAGATATAATTGAATCATCATGATTTAAAAAGAATGGCTTTTTTTTCCCCAGGAAGAGATACTGTTTTGTTTCCACTTTTGTTAATTACATGGCTTCTTCTAACAAACTGAATACTCCACAGTCATGCAGCTTTTAAAATTGCCAAAGAGTAACTTTACTTGCTGAAACATTGACTTTGCTCCGCAAGCTGTGTAGCGAGGGTTATAAAGTGTCTTTTATGAGAAGCAAGCCATAAAATTATGTGACTTCCTTAGAAAGTGCTAAGAGGATGGAGTGGCAATTTCCCAAGGTTAATTCTTGAAAATTAAATTAAAAAAAAAAAAGGCACAATTTAATAATGGGAAGAAACAAGCACAAGCCAGAAGATTCTCAGCTAAAGCAGAAACTCAACACATCCGTTGTCCCTAAATACTACAGGTGTCTCTGCGCAGTGGGTAATCTCATGTCTTGAATACATTTGCATATATCAAGACAGAATAATGATGAGATCTGTTTTTCCTCCCTTCCATTTGTGCTACCTGTAAATAAAAGCATGTGACAGGAATGATAAGGTTGCAGGCTACCCTGTGTGAGAGCTCAGCTGGGATTTTAAATGTGCCATCACTCCAGTGCAATGGAGCATTCAATCCAAAATGTCTCTTGGCTGGGTTGGGACAACGGGGCATCCACCACCGGCTCCTAAGCTACACAGCTCCTGGCTGGCTAATCAGGACATCAGTTTCCTTGCCCAAGCAGTGTTTCCTCCTGTAATGAGAATGAACTGAGATGGGGCAGTGATGGCTCAGGCGAGGCTGTGAGGACAAAAGTCCGGATGCCTCAGGTGCAAGGGAAGTGCTCCATCGTCCTCAGTAGGAGCCAGACTGGGCTGCTTCCTACCTGCTGAAAGATGGGGCAGGGGAGCAGGTGTGGTGTGACCGGGAGAGGGCCTCTGTTGTGATAGCCTTCCCCAGGAGCCATAGCCAGCGTGGTGTGCCCTCTGGTCACTTCAGAGTGTCCCAGCCGTGCACAAGGCTGTCCCCTCCCTGCTCCACCTGCACCAGCCCCTGCCAGTGCTGCACAAACCTCGCCATGGCTTTTTAGCCTCTGAGTGAATCTGTGCTATCTGTCTGTGGTGTCTAGCAGGTATCACACCATAGCACATTACACATCCAGCAAGGCACTGTTCATATAGATGATCTATATGCCATATGGTATTATCACAATTCATTTAAAGTAATGTGACTTTGCAAGTATGGCCCTGGGTAGGCAGGAAAGTGTGACAAAGTAGGTTTAACACAGAGAAGTGGAAGTTCTTTCCAGTTAGTTTTATGATAATGAATGTCAAGGCATGCTGTTCGAAGCAAGCTTGTGTCTGTATTCATGGTGCATAGCCATGTATTGATTTTTATGGTGACATTGTAGCTGAAATTTTTAGAGAGGCATTCATTTTCTCATTAATATGCAGGTTGGATAGTGGCTAACAATAGTTTAGTTTAAGAAAAATCTATGTCAGCCATTAAAAGAGCTACCAGACACTGAATGCTAATTTTTCTCCTTTAGGATTTCCTTTGGTAAGTTTTTTTTTTCTTTTTGGAAGAAACAACAGAAACTTGCATATGAGCAACCTAAATCTTGGGCTGAAAATGTTAAATGATTTTGTTTGTATGCAAGACATCTGACATACTGTACAAGTCTGCTACTTAATTACCCCCTGTGGATTTGCAATCTTGTTCTAGCAAAATCACTGTTCCGTGGGACATTTTTCCTTTTGCCTTTCCCTTTCATAATTCATTGTTTCAAATTCTCTCCTTTTTACCTAGCTTAAGACATCAAGACTGGACAGTATGTAGTGTGTACCCCAAAGCAAGGACATGATTTTCTCTCTGCCTTATTCTCCCTTGGTATTTAAATTACACATACTAAAATACTGTTAGCTAAAATAATATTAATTTGCATCCCTAGCTTTACAGGTCTATTGTATTTTCTGTATCTCTACCCTCATACAGTTTTCACTTGGAGGCTATCTTTGTGCAATGAGCACATCAAGGATATTGGTGATACTGAATTATTTAAAAAAAAGTATACAACGAATCAGAGAGAGTACAATTTTGATATTCATACCCTTCAAAGAGGGTGTGTGTTAGTGTTTTCTAACTAAAGGATCTTCCAGAAATAAAAATTGCTGTTAATGACACAAAAATTGTATACAATTCTCTTCACCTGCACATGTTACTGATTTCAGAGGAGTTTGGGAGCACTATCTTAATGCACAGGGAGAGACCCTGGAACAGGAATGTGAAACGACTCTCTAAACATGATACTAAGTGCCAGTCACTGGCATACTCGCTCCAGCCCCCTGCTCCCTAAGATTTAACTTCCCAAGAAAGGACAGTAAGTTAAAAGCAGAAGATAAACATCACTCTTACCACAGGTTTGTTGCCAGAAAACTCTGGCAAAGGGCACTGACTGGTGTTCTCCCATTCCCAGTAGTGATCTTTACAGTAGGTGACATTGTGAAGCAGGAGACTCTGGGGTGTCTGACCTCGGACAAGCTGACTTAAAACAAAAAGGTTCATCAGTGATACGCTTCTTTTCAAGGTTTCTGTGTTTCTCTAGGTTTTGCCGTAGTAATCAAATGCCAATTCTGAGATAAATGAAAGTTTGAGAACTGGCCATTTCATTTTGAACCTGTTCTGCTCTCATGTTCAAGTTATCTTTCCTATAATTATGCAGTGAATTTTTTACCAAAGGCAAGAAGTGTGCTGTAGTATTGGTGCCTGTCAGTGCAGCTGAAATGGAGAGAGCCCTTGCATAGAAAATGTACATTTTACTGTATGTGGCAATATTTGATTTTCAAGTTCTTTGGAGTAGGCTCTTTGACCTCCTCTGTATTTGAGCATCTGGTACTGTTTAGTAAAGTGATAAAATTTAATAGTGACAGACATTCTCTTTCCTTTACTGCTTTCTGAATGTATTTTTAAAAGCTATGAATAATGTTGGAGGAGTGTAATTAGATGTATACTCTCTAAATATACTAAATCCTAGCTTCCTTATTTCTGGGAATGTTAATTATGTGAATTTTTAAAAATATATCAATCCTGACTGTTCATTTTAAATGTGTTCCACCTAGTGTTGATTATGGGCAGAGAAGGAAGATTTTTATGGGGAAACCCTGTTTGTTTCATATAGTTTCTCTGAATTTTCCCTTCCATACTTAGTTTACCTTTGCTGCCTGTTCAGACAGAAAGAAAATAAGTTAGTTTTGAGTGAGATTTGTTCAGCCACCTGGAAAGGGGGAAGTGGAAGGGGGATGAAACCTTGGGGTTTGACTCTTTTTCATTAGCAGGGGTGTTCTGGGGCAGGAGGAAGCTCTGTTGCAGTGCACTCCCAGCCTGGAGCGAGCAGAATGGTATTGACAGGGCTCTTCAGCCAGTGCCCCAGTTCCAGGGCAGTCTCTGGATGAGTAGTGCTGGTCAGCTGGCTAGACAGAGGGAGCTTACAAAGCTGGGGGTTTTAAAGAGTTCATTATAGTTGTTTGAATTTAGATTGGAAAAGCTTTGCCAGAGAGGGCAGGGGGCATTTTAATCAGGTCAGGATAAAGTCTATAGCGTTTGCTTGCAGCTCTGCCTCTGTAAAATGGGGATAATTAATTGGGCCAACTTCAGGAACACTCAAAATCAAACTGGATGTGGCAATTCTCAAACCACAAGGAAAGAGGTGTGGAAAGTAACACAGCACAAACCATTGTGCTGGCCTGTTCCCTTTCTCATGAAGAGGCATCCCTGTACCTCCAGAGAACAGGCATGTGCACACGCTGCTGTGGGCTAGGAAGTTCCACTGCCAAAGAATCGTGGTCTGTACATACTTTAGTGGTGGGCATCTGAATGTTTTATGAAATGGACATAAAAATGTATTATGATCACAAGGACAGGCTGATAGGGTTTTTAGCAACCTGGTCTAGTGGGAGGTGTCCCCATGGCAGGGGGGCTGGAACTAGATGGTCATTAATGTTCTTTCCAACAAATATGATTCTGTGATTCTGTGAACAGCAAATGACTGTCCTCAGATCTTAAAAGCTTAACTACAGCTTGTGGCCATGTGTACACAAGCTAGCCAGCAGGAAAAGATCTATAGAGCAAAGCAATCTTTGTTGAGGGCCCTTCACAGGACATGACTGAGGGCTACCTAGGGCTTAGGACTAGGTCTGGCTTGGTCCTGTGAATGGATCACTTGTTAGCTCTTGGAGCACAGCAATGTGTTTCTGTGAGTGTATTTCCACGCCAAACACTGGGTTGTGCAGCCCAGGGACTGTACCATGGTACGAGCCAAAGTCCAGGGGGTGAGGAAGAGCATGAGATTTACCTCAAAACTGCACTCCCTGAATTAAAATGTGAATATAGATTAACATGAATGCTATCACACAGAGATGAGAAAAGGAAGTGGAGGATAGTACACAAGGGAGAAGCAAATGATGCCAGTGGAGCTGGAAACAGGAGATGGAAATGTTTTCAGCTCTATAAGCACCTTGCTGCTCTCACTCTGCATTGGCAGAAGATTTATCAGTTCCTGAGCTTCTCAGGGAAGGTCTCATGTATCTTCTGTCCCTCACTGCAAGAACCAGAGTTCTCTACTAAGAGGACAGACCTTTCTTTTGTGGTGAGGAACAGGGAGAGAAACAGCGACCAGGCAGTCATCTCTGTCCATAAAAGTCATCTGGCTGGGCTAGTCATAAGCCTGACTTGTTTGTTACTGTAGTCATTTAAACCTGGTTTGTAGTAAAGTACCTAGCACTACTACACAGTATGTCGGTATGGTGAGGAAATTTGGGATTCTGGTCCTTGCAGAGAAAGGTCAAAATCACTTTACTTTTATGGACGCAGAGGAGAATGGCCACAGAGACACCTACCACAGGGTAGGCGACATGCTGAAAGCTTCTCAAGCTTCTACAAGGTCTCTTGAAAAATGCCTTACAAGAGCTATGAGCGTAAGGTCCATCCCTTATTAATTAGAAACCACAAGGTTTTGATTCCTGATCTGTAATGTCCCCAGTTCCCAAGCATGAAAGTTCATTCATTGATAAGGTGCAGGTTGTAAGATGGTAGAAGAGTGGCTGAATAAACAGAAGGATGCTTTAATTCCTCAGAAAAGTAATGTATTTTAATTTCAGAATGTTTTAATTTTGTAATCTCACCAAAGATCCCAGCAGCTTGTTAGTAGAAAAGCATGGGATTGTACATTTGGATGGTGTTTAATGTCAAACTGTGTACATATACCCCATGTAGTTTACACAAACACTTACCCCATACCATGCATTATTAAACCAGTGAAGAAAACCACAAAGAGGTGGTGGGTGTACCAGAAAACCTCATAGCTTGACCTTCTGATGAGCTCAGTGGATGAAGTCATGATCAGAATTAAAGCCACAGTTATCACAACTCCAGTTATTCCAGCTACTGTAGTTAGTACTTGTCCTGTTGTGTTCTAGAATAAGAATACATTGTTAGTATTAATATATACTGTTGTTATAACTGTTATTTTTGTTACTATTTCTGTTACTTTTATTATTGTTACTGTTTCTGCTATTATACATGAAGCCAAAATCCTCAGCATAGGAACCAAACCAGAACAAGACATGGAGGCAAGGCAATCCTTCATTTTACCACAGAATGGCAATGAAAGTCATCCTTCTGCTCCATTTCTACTCAGGCATATTCCAAACAGATATTTAAATATTTGCTGCCGCTTACTTGTTTCAGAAATTGAAAGGAAGAAATTAGACAGTCTCATTTGCGCTTTGATCAATTTTACTTACTTACACACTTAATGAAAGTGTGTCGCAAATAAAGAAAAATTATTAGAGAAATGAGAAGATTAAACCTAGAAGTCTAATAAAGAAAACAGCACTAGAGACCAGCTTATTTTTGTGAAGTGATAATGTGAGGTGCAAAGACACCTGCAACTGTAAAGGTGTGGAACTCTTTTGTGCTCACTTTACTTCAAAGTTTGTGGGGCTGTAGAAGCCCTGAAATGGTACACAAGGATGGCATACTCTCATTTACCTAAAAAATATATTTTGTTTACCTGCTCCTTACATTTATTTGGAGATACACTGCATAATACTTTAGTTGCTTGGGTTACTTGGGTTTATTTTTTAAAAATACATATTTATATTAACATTTTTATACTTGTCAATGAAGAAACATTAATATGCTGGGCTGGAACATGTTCCTTCTTGTTCATGACTCACAGATGTCAGCACAGGTGTGGTATATCTGTCTAAACCCACCAAAATAAACTGAATTGAGAATGAAGATGTATTTTGAACACAACTGTCAGATGTTGATTGCAGTTGTAAAGTGCAAGTCATGAAGAACAGCAGTAAAAATCTCACACACAAGATGAGAATCAAGCTAAATATGCCATCAGAGTGTAAATGAAGTCCCCATTTGGCCTACAAAGCATGTATATCTGTTTTCCCAGTGCTGATGCACAGGAATGAAGAGCTCAGCACATCTTCTGGATCCTGATTTGGTTCTACAGCTTAATACACTAGGAGAAAAAAAAAACAACCCTCTATTGTATTTGTAATATGCACTCATTTGATATGGAAATCCTAGAGGTGATAAAATTGCACAATGCCATTTTTACAGTCACTTTTTACGGTAAAATCATTCTTTCAAATGCTCACACTTGACAGCAAACAGTATATTTTCAAATGGGTACCTGTGAAGAGCATGTTCAGATCCTGTTACATATTAACAGGATTTATCTAGGTGATATTTTGAACATTTCCACTACAGTGGCTAGTTTGGATATTGAGATGAAAAACGGCAAAATGTCAAAGACAGTACATTGCTTCAATGGCAGTAGGACAACACTGAAAAGAAAGCCTGAATTGTTGATCTCAGAACTTCTCTGAAGTTAGAAACAATCTTTTGTTTGCTTCCCTTCATAATTTATTAATTCTGAGTTTAGCTACTGAGACACAAGTGAGTGATAAAAGAAATATAAATATTAGAGGTTAGAGTAAAATCTAGGCTGCAAATTGAAAGGTAATTGTGGAGTGTATCACTGTGAGAAATCTGAGAAAGAATCTCAAAATATTCTAACCTTCTTCCTCAAGGGTATTTAGGATCTTAATGCTAATTAGAGGCCTACCTCACATTTATATTACTATGGCAATGCTTATGGAGAAAAAAAAAAAAGCTTACTGAATAATGGTAAGTTCCTATTCAGAGCTGGGAGCTTTGTTCTGCTCCAGGGATCACCTCATGGCCATGAAATGGAAGTGGTCACTGGGTGTACTGAAAGACTGGGAAGCTGAACCCTTGGCTTGCTGTCCTATTCTGATAAACCTGACTGCTTTGTCAACACCAACAAGAAGACTTCTGCATTCATACCACTGACTGCATCAATTTGCTTGATTTTCTTCAAACTTGTTTATTTTGAAAGATGAAAACCCCATGCTATCTAAACTGGAAAGGGAGGAAGGAAAAGCAGGACAAGCACTGTTGTATCCTATCAATGGTTGTCCAGCCATCTTCTCACTTGGGTTCTTGTTTCAGTGGAGCACACCACTGTTCAAAAGAGCACCAATCCATGGTGTTCAGGCAGTCCTTATTTCATGCTGACTGTGTGGGCATTTTCTAAAGAGTAGAATAATATGCATAGGATTCTCACCAAGGCCATTTCAGCCCTGGCATATGTAACTATGAAGCAGGATATACAAGGAAACCTCTAGCATAAATGTGATGTGTGCTCTAATGGAATACAGAGGAAAAAAGCTGATTAACTTTTGCATGGTTTGCATGCCTTCTCTGCATGCTCAGCTTTTCTTTATGTTATGAATATTATAAGGGAGAGGTTATAATGATGTTGTGGGTTATCCAAGAAAGTGGGCAGGGGGCACAGTCACTTTTTCCCCCAAAACAAGCAGAACCTTTTATGGGTTGAGGATCCTATATCTCTGCTGGTCTCTGAAGAGCACACAGCAGCTCTAGATTCCCCCTGCACTGCTTCCTGTGTGTAGCAACCCCCTGGATGGCTTCAAAGGTGCTCTTCCCTGAGCAGCCACACTCCGCATGTAACGAGGCAGGATCAGCCCCAGATCAGGAAGGTGCTGCACCACCATGGGGAGAAACAAATAGCAAATGAGAAAGAAATACTGTGATGTGCTATTGTTCTTTGGTTATATTTCTTTCTGAAAAGAAGTTGTGCTTGTTCCATGTATTGATAGTTTAGTTTTGGGGGTTTTTTAAATTCTTTGCAGGTTTATTTAATTGCCTGCTCTTCACAACACTCCTTAGCCTCCCCCCACCAGCTGTCTCCTGACAAACTAATTAAAATACTATAGACATTTCTTTGAGCTTAGAAACCTGAAAATTGCAGCTCTGAGTAAGTGTTTTCAGCTGAAATTGAGGTTAACCTTTGGCAGCACCTTCTCGCTCTGGTTAAAAGGCTTTGAAATACAGTTTTACCGGCAATAGAATCCACAGAGGAAACCCTTTTAGATGAGGAAACCTAAAAAGCGACATCTTACTGTTTCATAGGTCCTGATTGGGTTCAAGTAGCTTTCATTTGGGCTCTTGCCAAGACCAGAAAGTTTATTCCGTAACTCGCCAGCTTCTTTTGACTGGCTGGAATGATACCGCTCGATGTTGATGGAGTGGGCAACAATGTGGATGGCTGCAGGAGAGAAAGAGTGGTGTGAAATTACAGGCACACTTGTATGTGCCCACAGTGCCAGAAGGAACTTCGTTATGCACACTGTGAACTATTTGAAAAGCTCAGGCGTAAATTGAGAGTTTTGCATGGATTAAGCTGACAATAAAAAGAGAATTTTATCAACTGGATGTCTAATATGAAGCGACTGCTTCACGGTAGAGAGGATAGGAACAGCAGCAGGCTCACCTCCCAGGTTTACAGTCAAGTGCCCTGCAGTCTCCAGTGTCATCAAAGGAGGACATCTTGAGACTTGATATAAAAGTGTATGCCTCTGACTTTAAGTTGTTCAAAATTAGGTGAACTCATTAAAATTCCTATTTTTAGTTAATATACTCGGATGTGCTATGGTTTGCCCTTGCTATAAAGGACACTAAGTTGACTGGTTTAGGCATGGACCAGTTTGCAACATACACTAGAGATGCTTTCAAAATCTGTCTCCTATTAACAAATAGCTGTAGCGTTACTTTAAGCAAGTGGAGCCTGGAGAAGCCACAGGAACAATGATTTAAAGGGAGAAGAGCAAATCACAGTGTTAGATCTGATTTGTCCAGAGTATCATATATTGCCTCTACTTCTGGCTTGCCCCCAAAAGGTATATGAAATGGTCAGTTTAGCAAAATACCTTAGATTGAAGTAAAAAATCCCCTGTAACTATTTTCTTGGGTGGAAATAGTATAATTTCAAGAGTGGAAAAGGAAGGACTTTGTTTTATTACTGGCTTACATAGATAAAGTTGTAATCAAGCTAGGTGCAGAGTTTCATTTTTCAATATGAGAGACTCTCAAATCCATTACATGCAAGTTGTAATTAATGCAACATATTAAATGCCAAAGGATGAAAAAATGACAATGAAAGATAATTATATGTTTACAGCACAGCTATTTCTAGTTTTTATAATTAGCTTCCTGTTATCATCTCTCCTTCAGTGGTTATCTGTTTCTGTCCCTGACCATTTAAAAAACCATTCAAAAGGGCAGTATTTGTAGAAAACCAAATATGATCTTCTTCCCTGAAAAATAGTCTCAAAAAATTTTCTCTTCTCTTCTCTTCTCTTCTCTTCTCTTCTCTTCTCTTCTCTTCTCTTCTCTTCTCTTCTCTTCTCTTCTCTTCTCTTCTCTTCTCTTCTCTTCTCTCTCTCCTCTTTTCATTCTTTCCTCTTCTTTCCTCTTTCTCCCCTTTTTTAAAGTTGTGACTATGTGGATGAAAATAATGTTTTGCTGTACTAGTCACTGTTTCATCATAGGTGTAAACACAAGATTAAATGCATAAGGACCTTGGTATTGTTGGCCATTTATATGCCTAACCACTTAGTGGGCTCACTCACTCCACATGCTGGAGTCCACCTGGGGACGGCTGTGTCCATGGGAGCATGAGTTAAAGTAAGATGCTGGCCATGGAAATGGTTAAAGCAGCCAGTGCAAGAAGGTAAAACATTCCACCCAACAGTAAGTTATCCCATGTGCCCACACTGGAGAGAGGCTATTTTCACTCTGTACTTCTCAGGTGATCCTTCTAGAGCAGTAGATGTACTATGGTTGGTTGATTGTCAGGATGCACTTCGTTCAAAATGTAATGTTAACTTAGGGGCTCCCCCCACCACTTCTTGACACCTCATTGCCTCATGCTTAGATATTCACTGGGAGATAAAAGATCTATTTAAAAATCCTTGTTACATTAAATTTAAAGTAAGGCTTTAAACCAAATCACACATCCTAGTCACTGGGTTGACTGGTTATTCTCTTTTGAGCTGTCTCTTGATGAAGCCCTTAATAAAAATAATCCAATATTTCTTGACACAGGCATTCCAAGTGAATATTCTGAGCACCCAAACTGCAAAATCAACCTCCCATTTCTCCTGAATCTTTGGCCCAATGAATAATAAATTATTTATACAAGCTGGAATAGCTTTGCAGGATGGAGACCGAATCCAAATGGGTATGAACTGCAGAGAGATAAAGGGAGCCTGGAAATTAGAAGACAGATTCAAGTCATCAAAGGAATGAGACTCTAAAATAACCTTTTGATAAACGGGATATTGGGATCAAGCAATCTAAGCAGCTTTCAGCCAAAGGTTGGTCATTTTATGAAATGGTGTGCATGACATGACTGTGAGCATCAGAGGGTGCTGGACTCAGTGGCCTGACGTGTCCTGCACATGTTGTTATGGGTTAGGTGCTGCATGCGAAACAGCCTTGCCAGCATCAGGTGAAAGATGCTTCCTGGAGCCTGTGCATGAGAGTGTGCTCCCAGCACCCCAGCAGTGCTGGGAGCCCTGGAAGGAAGGTGACACTGGACCACAAGCAGCAAATGAGATGTGTGGATTTAGACTGTCAAAACCCAAGAGTCCAAGATATGAGCTGGGTGGTTTAGGTGGCAGCTGTGTGGGGGCTGTGGCAATCTGTTCCCCAGTGTACAACTGATGCATAAGCAGTAAATAAACGCTGTTTATATCTTTAAGTGTAACAGCACATTTAAGTGCTGAGTAGGAAGGGGGGAACTGTTCCTACAAGGGGCTCCTTTCAGAACAGATGTGTTGGCCTGGTAAGGATATTATCTGATCCAGCTGGAAGGGAGCCAAGTCGCTGCTTGATGAGGACCTGATTTCTTTGACAGCTGAAAGAGCTCACTCGCAGGACAGGAGTGTGGGGTAACAGATTTCTGTCTTTGGTAAGTTGTGGAGTTACATGCTGCACATTGTCTGGTATGGGCTAAGGAAAAGAGGAAAGAAAACTTTCAAAGGATGGAAAATCCTGACAGTGAGTCTCTAAGTGGACTTGTACTAAGCAGTTTTATTTTGGCATCTCTGAGTGATTACTGTAACTTGGGCCTCTTGCCCTCTATACCTATAGGATGCTCTTTATGACTCTGGTATGATGTAATAGTCCCCATAGCCTAGGGACCAGGAGAGTTTCACACAGTTAGGATCCATAGTGCTGTTTTACCAGAGCTTGCCTGCAGTCTGTCAGCTGCAGGTTTTGGATTATCTTTGCTCATTTAGAATTGTGACATTGACTAATTGTGGAAGTTTGAATCTGTGTTCATAGCAAAAGGCACTTTCTCCTTTCACCTTCAAAACAATAGATTTTTTTTTAAAGTGATACTGCAGACTGTAAAATATTCACATGAAATGATGACATTTCTGTTGTTTAGAAAGCTACAAAGTCTAGTACTTTCCCCAAAGTGCAGGATTCTACATTATTTGCACAATGTCATGTCAGCAGTGACAGGATATCTAATGCTATCTGGTAAATGCTGAGTGTTGAGAGTGAGATGAGGTGCTAGTTTTCTCCAGACAGACAGAGGTCCACGTCTCCTAACAGAGCATTTCTAGTCTTGGACAGAAGAAATGGATATAGATCCTCAAGAAGGTCTGGAGACTATAGCTGATGAGGAGTACTCATGTTGCAACTTTCCCCTGGAAGAAGAGATCCAGTTCTGGCAACCTAGCCTAGGAAGGTTTTTCTGCAGGCTACCAGAGGACACTGTCTTTTCCATCTGCACATTGTTCTGTTTCCCTGTGTTTTTGTCAATGGAAACATCATCATGGATTCTTTGGGATCGACCACACACCTTCCCTTCTGGGTGACATTCTCTCCAGCTTTCATCTGATAGGTAGAGGATATTACAAGTGTAGAAGACTTCCAGAATGAACAGGAGAGTTTTGTTGTTTTTATATTCTGTAAGCTATTCTGTGGTAGATGTTAATGGAGAGACAATAAGGATACATTGAAAAATAACTCATTCAAACTAATGATGTACTAAATATGTTGGTTTACCTGAGTCTCCCATGATCTTAGATATTGCCTGGAGTATTATTTGATTAATACTTCTGATGGGGTTTTTTGTGCTTCTAGCAAAAATTGATGCAATCTAAAAGTGAATTATATCTGGATGGTAAGAGTAATGCAAAGATCTAATTCCATTTTCAGTGTGGTTCATTTATTGTATAATAGTTGTAGCAGAATAAAAATTCTGGCACAGAATGTATTGCCATTAACTAAAATATTTTATATCCCTAAAGTGCATTTTCTGAAGGCCTTTGCATCTGCAGTGTATAGAATGTAGTAAGCAATTCCAAAATTACATATGCAGATTTCTGAAATCTGAGCTTTCCACAGCACCACTTATCTGAGTTACCCATGAGGACAAAGTTTAAGAGACCTCATCTCAGAATTTTTGGTTCAATTTTTCCTCATTCTGCATGTCCAAATATAACATATGGAATAAATCACCCAATCTGTTAAACAAAACTCTTTTTGTAACAGTTTATGCAGAATGAAGGATTTTTGTTGTTTTTAATGACATCTGGAACCTCTGAAGCACTTAACATACATTAATTTGTATTTGACCCTGAGATGTTCTTCTAGTCCACCTCTGAGATCAAATAAAAGGCTTTATTGGAAGGAGAGAGGGAGGAAAAGGGTTGCTATTAGATCATGGTGTTTACTGTACGTATCCTTAAATACAAAGAGATATAATTAAATTATCTTGAAAGTATGGTCAATTTAGTTACTCTTATTCAGCCAATTGTGCCTTCAGTGAAGCATGCACAACTCTCATTGAACTAAACAGAAATTTCATGTGTTTATCTGAGGACAAGATTTAACTCTCTCTTTTTCTGCATGCCTGTACAGGATAATAATCAAATTGGAGCTTGCTGCTAGCAGTTAAACACTTTGATTAACCAGTCTATCATGATAAAGTCAAAGGGTCAAATCCTGGCCTTTCTGCCCACAACAAACAGAGCAGCTTTACAGGCAGATAACCCAGGTGTGGAGAATTCTGCCCCTGACCAAGGCTGGGTTTTTTATTGCCACCCATTGCGCCATTCCTAGTTATTCAGAACCCCTAATTCAACTTCATGATGCCTTTGTGGACTAAAAAGGTGCAGGCTATATAAAAATTAAAATAGTGACCACACATGCACTTGCACTTTATTTTGTTTTTAAGAATGGTTTTACACATCAAAGAAGAACATGACTTGGACCATATTTTATCTTAGCTGGAAGCTTACAATCTTCAATTTAATATTATTTTCATCCTAGTACTTGCACTAAGTCTAGATTTAAGAAATCTCACTAAAAAACAAAAAAAGACATTTAATGGAAGCGTGATTTTCTGTAATTTCTGGAAGTACAACACTGAGGTATCAGCTAGACCTCTTTTGAAGATAGGCATCTGCTTCCCTGAAAACTTAATAATTTACACAAAAATGTGACTCAGGTCACCAAAGGCCTTCAAATAGTTTACCAAAAAGTGGTTGAAAATTGAAAGGTTTCCTAGTATTTTTAGCTATAGATTTTTCGGTGCTTGTCAGAAGGCAAACACACATGGCATCACTATACTTCTTTCTGCACTTTGCCTGTTTTTAAAGAAGAACACATTGCTGGAATTTTTAAGGAGCAGGAATCATTATTTCAAGCAGCCTAACTCCAAACAACCTTTCTGTCTTTTGGCTATTTTCCCTTAATTGCTTAAACTTTATTAATATTATAATTCAAAGATTGATGGAGCAAAATATCCATATGACCTTTCTGCAAACACCAAAAAAATGCAAGTAATTTCTTCTTTAAGATAAGCCAAACATATCAAAGTAAAGAAAGAAAAATGCCCCCAACACTCCCCACTTCAGAAAATGTATGAATATTCTTTTCTGAGAGGGTAAAAACAGTACAGTAAGAAGTAGGTTTTGTAGAAAATGTTATTACCATCTCTTGTGGTGCCTTTAAGTTTCAGGCCACTGTGTCTCAACTGAAAAGTCTCTTTCCAGTACAAAGCACAGAATTATTTGCACTGATCAAACTGAGAGTGCATGAAACTCAGATTTTATTCTAGCAGAGTTACGGGTCTATAAGGAAGATTTATTAGTGGCTGAATAACTCCCAGACAGCTCTTATCACAGACAGGCATGCAGAATGCAGGAAGCCAAACTAAGCAGAATTCCCTTTACTGAATTTTCAATGATGCCCTTGATTATAGATAGCATTGTTTACTCTGTCTCTTTCCTCCAACTTCCCTCTTCCACTAGTCTCTAATTATATTCCTTTATGATCTGACCAATTAAAGCCTGCTCTTGAATTTGTATTAGAGATGATGAAAAATTAAAGGTACAGATGTACTCTTTTCACAGCCAGGCACACCTCAGCTGAGCTAGCTTCCTGTTAGAAACCAGACAATACTAATGTTGCACTGACTAATTTTAGCACACTATTAAATAAATATGCTGGAATAACACCACCTGGCAAGCCAAGATGAATAATGTTACTTTCATAATAAAGGTGTTTGCAATTTTGTGAGGCTAAGCTTACTGATCTGATCTTCAAATTGGTTTAACTTCTTGCTACCACATTTAGTCCATTGATCATATAAGATTGTACATCCATTTAACAGAGAATTACTAAATTGCAATAGACTAATAGGAGTTGACTATGTTTTTGTGTAATAAAAGGCAATATAGGTAGTGCTAGGATAAATAATGTGTCAGTTGAGAGGAAAATGGCATCTATTTACACATCATTTTAACACTGTTAGATTTTATTGAAAAGGATTCAGTGTACTTGTGGGTACCACTCTGAAATGTTGCTTTTCTGTCACAATGTGTTCTGTAGACTTTATTTTTCTATGAACTTAAAATTGAATTTCAGGAAATTGAGTTTCTGGCCATTCTTTACACAAGTCTAACACTATTCAGTGATGTAGTGTTTTTCCAAATATGATAAATGTTTCTCACTTGACTTTTAAGGAAGCAGGAATTCATAGGTTGTCATACTTTGTTTATTAGACTTCCTTGTGTTCTGTTTTCTTTCTCAAATATCTCATTAACTATTTTTCCATTTTGTATTTAGGAAAAAAAAAACCCCAATCAACCTAAATAACAACCCAAAAATGAACCTTTGATTTCTCCCTAGAGAGTGATTTAAATGAGAATTATATGATCATGCTTTCTGTCATTTCACATTGGCTTCTGTGTCTTTTTCCTTGAAATCAGTGAAACCATTAAAGTAATCACTTTTCTGATAGACTTGCACTTCCCAAACTGTCCACATTAATGCACTAGCAAACATTTTAATATTAATGTAAAAACCAAACACATAAGAGGTATGATTGTGAAGTTTTGCTTTCTTTTTGGAACATGACCTATTATACACCAACTCAAGTTGGTTAATTTATATTCCTGGGTTGATTTATTAATTAAAGAAGCAATGTTGCACTCAATGTAGGAATGTGTTCTGTAGTGAAACTGAACTCTGATGAATGAGTGGACATGACAGATAAGTAATTAATCATAATACACTGTAAGATGAATGTTTATATCCCATAGCCTTCCCCTTGGAATTCTTTAGCATGACATACACAAGACAAACTTTAGCTATTGCTTCCTGTTGGCAATCTTAGCTTCAAATTCTTGTCTCACGGCTTGAGGACATTAACAGCCTAGACACACAAAAGCAGCTCCCTCATGCAGCCTGAAAAAAGATATTTTGACCAGAATCCATCCTGACAGTCTGGGGGTAGAACAGTTACCCTGCAATATCTCATGCTTGCAAATAGCCCTGATTAATTCTTCTGTCTCCTTCCCATTTTCTAAGAGATCTATCTATCTATCTATCTATCTATCTATCTATCTATCTATCTATCTATCTATCTATCTATCACAGATACCTTTCCATCTCTGTGTGCTCTTGTCCTTCTTCACACTGGCTTTTGTTCATTCCTCTCTGTACATCCTTTTTTCTCAAGCTATCTCCCGTTCCACTTATGTCCTTTGAATAGGAATTCAAACTTCTCCAGGTCCTTTTACTAAGAGAACAGGAAGGTGACATGTCTTTTTCCCAACTAGGTGAACAAGCACCTCAGTATGTCACTAGGACCAACAGAATAGAAAAATTTTGATCTCAAGCTGTTTTCTGTTCAAGGGGGCCATTAGTTTCATGGATCACCTGCTAAAAATAAATATCTAGAAATCCATTGTTTTTGAGACACCTGCCTCTCTCAAATTCAGACTAAATTTATTACCTGGTTGAAAAATTAGTGAAGATGTATTGGTGGGCAGTTTGTGGTATAACTCATAAGCATAATTTCCTTACAGAATCAGACAGTGATGTTATGTCATCTCCCCAAACATCTACCCTCAAGGATTCAGTGAAAGTTATTTACGCTAAATTTTAAGGGCACACAAGTTGTTCAGATTAACTAAGTGGCAACTGGTGTTTACTATTCAGATTGAAAATTTTTTTCCTTAACAGTCAAACTCTTCTCAAGCAAAAAAGATTACAAATAGTTAATCAGATGGGACTCCTACACACATTTAAATCTGCAGTCAACAAATGATTGCACTAAAATATCACATCTCAGAGCTGATGTGGATTACAGCATTAGGCAGAATCACTATGAAATTCAAAACGGTTCAAAGGCAAAGAAGAAAAAAATAAAACCAAAAAAGCTTACTTGCATTTAACGCTATTCCATAGGCAACCATCTTGTGAAATGTGATGTTTTTGTCAAGCTGTCTCCTCAGCGCTCCTCCACAGTACTTGGTGAAAAAGCAGAACTTGTTTTATATCATTCCTATTGGTGTTTACATCTCACATTTTGGAAAGGAGAAGAGTTCAGTACATTTGTAAATGGAATGCTGAAGGAATTCAGTGGAAGTTTTGAGTTAGTTTTAGGACTCAAGTAACTTTCTTGAGTGGCACGCCAGGGTTTCTGAAGCTACTAATCCTATATAGGGGCTCAAAAAGGGTTTGATAAAGCTCTGCTACACTTAGCTGTGATTTGTGAGTGGTTTATCTGAGCTGACATTAACTCATTTGCAGGTGTAGGGACACCAGGCTGGGCCACCACTGCTTTGTGAGCTCAGCATAACAGAGCTGAAGTGCTGGCAAAGCCAGCCTGCAATGAAAACATTTTCTCTGCTTTCAGGAAATGCACACCCCAGGAGGGTGAGGCTGTCTAGACCTCAGGTGGCTGCATGCTGATGTGTTACTGAGCCGTGCTGCCATCCCTGGAAGGGCTCGGCAGTGGTGTGCTCACGGCCAGCTGGGTGCCCCGGTGTGGAGCCAGCCTCGGGCTGGGGGCCGGCTGCACTGAGCCAAAACTAACACACTCTGCTGGAACCCAGACAGCACTCATGGACAGAATTCAGTCTCTGAGTGGTGGTGTGGGTGTCTGGATTGCTCACATGACCTGGCATGGCACCATGCCAAAGATCCTGGCATGTATCCATGTTGTTTCCCAGCTAATAAGTCTTCCAAAAATCTGGAGCACCACAGGGTGTGATGTCAATACACAGCACCTCCTTGGAGAGGCACTGGATCCAGCCCAGTGCTGGCCATGCTGGAGCAGTCAAGTTGCTCTGTAACATGCTCCTCAAGAGCAGAATATTGTCCAGAATAGCCAAATATTATCTGTGAGAAGAGTTCCAGTCCTCTGAATTCTTACTCAGCGTCTAAGTGGGCATGCATATGTTCTGTGCTGATTCACAAACTGATTCAGAAGACCGGGACATTTTTTCTCTTTTTTTTTTTTTGTGAATGTTCAACTCCTGAACTCAAACAATTATATAATCATTGATTCCCAGCCTAAAGACTGCTTAATATCTAAGCCTAACAATCACGGAAACAAAAAATGGCAGAACTGAGATAAGAACCAGCTTACTATAAAATAACTGTATCTTACCATTTCTAAATTCCTGTTGTTCCTGGAGTCATGAAGTGATCAGTGATTTTTTTACCCAAACATGTGTCATTGGGATTGCTCTGACTGTAATAATTCAATGCAAGTTGAAGTTATAGCTAATAGAGCTAAAGCCTTAAGTACTTCCTATGTGCGATTCCAAGGTTTGTGTGAATGCCTGTTACAAAATTTCATTTACTGCAAATGAAGACCTGAATGGTGGCCGCTCAGACAGAAGCATTTAAACATGTTCATTATTATCCTTAGAACATTTTTATCTATCTGAACATTTTATTTCTCTGATTTTCACTTTGCAGCTACAGAGAATACACATGATGGATATGAATTTTCTCCATTTGGCCAAGTGACATTATTATGTCCCTCTTTTGTGGCTTCTCACTTTTCTCTTCATGACACCATGCTATGCAGCAGCTGCCAAAATCAGTGTTGCATTTAGAGCACTGTGTTAAACAAGTCATTTGTTTCTCTTCAGTCATGAATACTGACAATTTAAATGGTAATAACTAGGAAATAGTGTACAGGCTTCTCTATCAAAAATTAAAATTCCTTGGAAAATGTTTGATAGGGAAAATACCGCTGAACTACAGAAATAAAAAAAGAGAGAATAATATGGCTATTTGAGAAATGGTACTTACAATGCTTGCTCCTCTTAAGAATGAAATAAGGTTTCTACAGACTGGTAACAGGATTAGCATGCAGTTAAAATTAAGGCACGTTGCAGAAGCTCTTGCCCAAGCCAGGGTTGACTGTACATATAACAGCATAAAGAAATTAAATTACAAGCTTGGTATAGGAAGAGCAAAAGAAAGAAAATACTATATAAATATAATGCTCTTATATGGGAAAATTACTGTTGAAGCATTGAAAGTTTTATGAAGGATGTAAATAAAATCAGACTATGAATACATTCTTCTTGTGAAGCTCTTCAACAATCAAACTCATACTTACACCCAGCATAATCCGTGTATAAAGGTAAGCTTTGTCATCTTCATACCAGTGGAAGGTATCAATAAACAAATAGAAGTTCAGTCCCAGCCACACCAGCTACAAAGCAGAGAGGCTACAGATTAGTAACATTTATAGTCTTTTTTTAATGCATATAAAACTGGCTATGGTCATAGTTTTAAGAGAATCTGAGAGATGTTTCAAAATAAGGGTGCAATGCAATTCTTGATCACAGATGATAGAAATCAAAAATGCCTGCTGGAATGAGGCTACATTTTAGCAAATTCAGGGTTATATCCTACGCCCAGATCTTGAGTAAAGGATATAAATTATGTTTACTGTGCCACAGTAACTTGCTTTTAAGCACAGGCCTTAACCTGGTCCCTAAAAAGGAAATAAATGCCAAAATTAAAAAATCACAGAAATGGAGGGAATTAAGAGCTAAGGAAATTCCTTTCTCTGCTCCCCATATACAAATCACCAAAGTGTCTGAAAATAAATCAGATTATAATTTCAATTATAATTGCAAACCTCTGCTCCCTTTATCTGAGGATTAAAGTACATTGACTTAAAAATAATTAAAAATAAAACACTAAGACTTTAAATTGTTTTTAAGACTAGTTATAAAAAGGCTGCTGAATATTTTATAGCAAGTTTTACATTAAGCTTGGGAGTATTACTGTAAGCAAACCATAAAATGTCTTTTAAATAAGCTTAAAATATTTATATATATCCAATTAGACTTTTTAATGCTAAAAATACTCACTAATAACAGCACTGAGAGTTTTTCATTCAAAATCCAGCATCCCATCCTGAGTGTCTCTCCCTATGCTAGCAGCAGCTTGCCTTTCACTGTAACCTGAGTTCTCTGCCCATTCCTTGGGTTTTTCTACTGACTCCTTTTGTCTTTAGTTTTTAATAAGCACCTAGTGGGAGCATGAGTTCTCTCTAGGAATTTTCTAATTAAAGGCTGCCTGACAAGAACAGATCACTCGAGTGACTTTTCTCATGATCTGTGTAAATAAAATGCTGGTCATTGTCCAGCCCTTTTTCTCTCCAGAGTTATTTCTCAGCAAATGAGAGATGCTGTCATTGCATTGTCCTCTTGTACTAGCATGTATTTGGGTGGGGGTTTCTTGCTTTTTGTCTTTTAACAGGGTGCAAGATTTCTTTGTGATTTATCTTTTAATTCAGTAGCAAACAGCAGCATCCCTGATGTGTGCATAATATGAGACTGTGTCCTGGTGAGGGCACTGCATTTACCCTTGCTTCCCCTTGCCAGAAGCTGCTCAAATTCTGCCTGCAGTAATCTCGTTCTTTCTCTAGTAAAACCATTTCCTTAAGGCTTTCCTGACTTGCCTGTGAAGGAGACCCTTCTGTGACAAAATAACTGAAAATTTCTGAAAGCTGAAATGCTATCAAGCTCAGCTACTTTTTAAACCAGTGCTAATGGCCGTTAATATGAGTTAGCAGAACCATGAGAGTGTTGTTACAAATACTTTGAATGCAAACATTTACGAGGAATTTGCTTTGAGTTTTATTTTCCTTGGATGGTAAAATTAAGTATAATTTAACAAACTTTATGGCAAGCCATGTGCAGTAATTGGCCACTGCCCATTATGTAACTCGATATAGGCTGTCCCCACAACCACCCCCTTTATAGTAGATTTGGTAGTGCAGGGGCTAACGAGCTAGTGAATCTTGCTGTGTTTTTCAGAGGTCAAAAGATGAGGAAATAAGGGAGAAGGGAAGAAGAATGTGCAGATGGTAAGGAGAAATACTAGTAAGGTCAGATGCCAATTTTAACTACTTTAAAAAAAAAAAAAAAAAGGAGGGAGAGAAAATCCACTATCTGGATTAGCTGTACTTCAAAGTGAAATGCAGCACTGCGATGTTCGGCTTTGAAGTTCAGCCGATCCAGACAGCAATTTTCTAAACTGAGTTAAAACTGGCATCTGAAATAGATTTTTTTTTTCAGAGTACAGCAGATTCATATGCTGGTTTAGGCTCCAAAATTTGTCTGGATCAGCAGCTGTACTTCAAAGCAGCACATCTCAGTACAGCATTTGACTTTGAAGTGCATGTGCTCCAGATGCCAGTCCTCTTAAAGGAGACAATGAATCAACTGCACTTTAACTTTTGTCTGTTGAAACAGCTATGCTTTTCTCATATGTAATGGTAATGTGTGTGGTCTTGAGTACGGCATCTCTCAATAAAAACATAAAGTTAACAGAAAAGCTCTTTGTTGCTTTATTTTGTACAAAAAAACTGATCAACATAATTTTATTATACTGATTTGCAGTGATCTGTGCCAATTTCTAGCACAAACTATTCAGACAAAACTCAGGAAAGGACACTTTATTGATTAAAGATGTAATGGTATTCCATTTTGTTATTGTTTTATCATTATGAGCTACAACTGTCCTAAAAAAGACCTAGAAAAAGGATTAAAAAGGGTTCATTCCATCATTTGGGTAGAAATCAGTGCTGGCCATGCTGAGTTCCCATGCAAGAGACAAACAACTCTGTCATTAGCTTAAAAGGTCAGTTTTTGCATGGAAAGAGGTTTATGAGGTGCTGAATTGTTCCATGTAAGTATCTCAGCATTAATGTCAATGTTTGTATCAATTACTGCTCCAGACCTCAATCACTGTTAGTTCTATTCTATTTGACAGCAACCTCTATCTGAGATTGTTGGTAATTTTTTCAAAGTACTTTGAACAGTGCTTACCCTTTGCAAGACTAATTGTTAGCATGAGACTGCACACACATACCTACACATATTTCATTTTGCTAGGCTATCCTATTTTTACTATTAGATATGCCTGCCTTGTTTCTCAAAGGCAAAATCATTTCAGTTGGCTCTGAACTCTGCCCTAGCCCTTTCATAGTTTTCCTGTGCACTTGACTTTATGTCTGTTGGTAACCTGGATGAACTTTACAAGCTCCACTCTGCTACTTACAGAGATGGATTTAGGTAAACAAGTGATCCTGAGACTCAGAGTTTGCAGACCAGCTGAAGCCATTTAATTGCTGACTGTATCAGAGGATATGCTTTGTGTTAGTCTGTACAAAGTGGTGGCACTGCTGTGTTTTCTGATTTTTACATTATCTTGGCTTAATATTTCCTAAAAATGTTCAAGAAGCAAAAGGCAGATTTGTCTTTGATGAATGAAGAAGATGAGCAATATATTGGATAAAACATTCACTTTTGTAAATAGAGAAACTGCTGAAGTTAATTAGAGATCAAACCCTTTCCTTTTATTTTTTTTTTTGTTTTGTTTGGGGTTTGTGTGTCTGGGTTTTTTTCGGCTTTTGGTTTTTTCCCTATGAAGACAACTTTGAGGGAACAGAGGCCAAGGTTCATCTTTGGTTATTCTGTAGTGCTCTCATTCTAGCTTTACAAAAGAACACTGAATTTCCATAAACAGTGGCTGAGTGACTAGTAGCATTAAAAACCAGCTATATAATTTTTAGAGATTTTCTCATAGTGGGGCTTTATTTTTTATATTTAACTGCCTCATTAATGTTAATGGATTTTTTTTCTTTTATAAACTGCGCTCACATTATGGTTGGGGGAACTGTTTTGCAGTTTGAGAACATTCATAAAATCCCCAAAGCTCTAAAAGACTAATGCAATTCCAGCCTTGTCAGTGCCAGAGATTCAAAAATCATCAAAATTATCTAAAATTTATGAAAGTAAAAAATAGAGAGCCTGCAGTTTGGGGGACAGTACTGAGACTTCAAGGGCATCTGGCTTCCCATTTACAGCTTTTGTCAGTAACAGTGTGTTTATTTTTTAATAAAATATTAAAAATCTTGGCCCTAAAGCATGGGCTTGAGCAACAACAAAAAAAATGCAGTTACCAAAACACTTGTGATGCAGCTGGCAGAATTATCAAGAGTATTGCAAGTATTGACTATATCCACAAACTCAGTCATTTGTCAAAAGGCACAAAATTGAGAGAAAAACTTCTGTTTCTAACCAGAAAAGCAGAACAAAGTTTCATAACCCCATTAAAAAGAAGAAGAAAAGAGTTCTGGTTGTAGATCCAGCTCCTCTTGAACTCCATAAGCCAGTGCAATAAAAGAGCTCCTGTCCCTCTGTCAGCAGACCTGGAACTGGTATTAGGGATATCTCACCCAATGGGCAGTGCCATGATTTGGAATCACAGTGGATGCTGGTGATGCCTTCAGAGTCAAGAGCAAGAGTCAATAGCATAGCAAAAATGCAAAGGGTCTGGGATCAAAATCATGTTGGAGGCTAAAAGGGAGTTTGTCACTGACCAGTGTGGGACCAACTATTGTTTCTGCCTAAAACAGGGCTCAGCACCGTTTGCAGACTCTGGTGCTTTCCTCAAGCCAATGGAAAGGTTTATCAATGAGAAACATGACAGTTCTGTCTTGGGAGATAACCAGTTCCCAGCAAAAAAAAAAAAAAAAAAAAAAAAAAAAAAAATTTGAATCCAAATATTTTCTCTCTCAAGGGACTCTTTTATTGCCATGTTCACACTGTAATAAAAATATATTCAGGAGCAATTTCAGGTGTTCAAAAGCTATTTGTTTCAGTAAGTGCCAAAATCTCCCAGCTCTTGACTGTGGATCTCCAGAAATAAAGTATTATACTTTCCTAATTACATGTGCAAAATTCTAGTTTTCCCACAAGAGCAGTTTTACACCTTAATAACAGGAAACAATCCTTCAAAGAAGCTGAAATCTTGTACAAATAGATGTGTCCACAGCTTACTCGGAAGAATTTTCCTCTTAGCTATTTTGCAGGCAGCATACTGTGGAAAACAGTTTAAGAATGAGTGTAGAAAAGGGAAGAACAAGGAGCAGGAGGAAAAAGGGATAAGTAGCATCCATGATTTACCTCCCCCAGAGCCAGGGCATCACCAACACAATGGAGAAATTATTGAGAGAGACTCCATATGTGTATAAAAGGGTTGTTCAGGTTCCACATCAGCACACAAACAATTTCTTAATACTACTGCCCATATCTAATCCTCTACATGCTCTCCAGCATTGGTCAGATTAAAGATGAGACCTGGTGACAAAGGACATGGCAAAGATGCGGAGTTCAGACCTTTTTTCACTTTAGTTTTTACTGGTAAAACTGATTTTCATTCATACCAGGCCCCTGAAGCAAGCTGGAAATTCTAGAGTATAGAAGGTGTACTTTTGGTGGAGGAGAATCAGGTTAGAGAACATCTGAGATGACTGGGCATATGCAAGTCTTCAGAATCTAATGGAACACACTGGCCTGTGTGTTCCATTAGATTCTGAATCTGAATTCCAGGAGTGCTGACCTGGCTGGTGTCACTGTGAGAGCACTCTCCATCATCTCTGAAAGGTCAAAGCTGCTGGGTGAGCTCCTCAGGGCTGGAAGAGAGCAAATACCACTTGCTCCTGCGAGAAGGAGCATCTGGAGAACCTGAAGTGGCAGCCTCAGCTCAGTACCGAGGAAGACGATGGACTGAATCTACCTGGAAGCCGTTTGGAGACAAGATGGGAACAGTCAGCATGACTTTACAACAAGCTGGGCTAGCCAGTGTGTGAAAGATGCGCACTTCCTGGAATGAGTCCGCACAGGGCCACAAAGATTATTAAAAGCCTGGAGCACCCTTCATGAGGGGAAAAGCTGAGAGACTGTTCAGCCTGGAGAAAGAGCAGCAGACTCAGGGGGATCTTGTTAATATGCATAAATACCTGATGGAGGGTCCAAACAAAAGGAAGGCAGACTGTTCTCAGAGATACTCAGGATTGGAGGCAATGGGCTCAAACCAGAACACTGGAAGTTTTGTCTGAACA